GATGTCTTAAATTGCAGGACCTTATGCTGGTTGCTTTGTTTTTAAATTTAATTTTCAGTGCTTTATAAAGGTGTTTTGGGCGTATGCAATCTGTGACATTAACAGTTGGCATTTATTAGCTTGGGGAAACTCAAGGTCTCCTACCCTCTTTTCCTTTTACATCCTATTGAACTTTAAAAATCTCTCTTTTTCCAACTCTGAAACTTCAGCAAAGTCCTACAGACTCCAGGCATTGACTGAAGATGCTATTCTAGTGTTTTTGGGGATGGTGTGATATATGCATGTAACCCTCTTTGGGTTTTGGCTACACTATGCTATTTGTGTGATGAAATCACAAATGATGCTACATTTCTCAGAATGTATCAAGTGACATGTTACTATCTTACAAATATGGGGTGTGTTGAGGAAGAACTTTATGAATCCATTCAGGGATGGTTCAGTAGATTATGAGTCAGAATTTTCCAGAAAGAAGGAGCTCATGGCAGATATAGATTGTTGGATGTTTGGTATAACTATCTTTACACCAAAGATATCAATCAGATGTAGGCCTGAGCTTGAGTCAGGGAATTGAGCCTCACAGTATGGTCAGTTAAGCAGATGTCCTGTGTCCATTCCAGTTATGGACAGTTGACCTTTCCTGTTCTCTATAGCATATGCCTTCTCCTTCTCTACCCCACCTTTTTTCTTTTCTTATGCTTGCTTTCCTCTTCCTTCTCTTGCTGTTCACCAGAGTTGCATAGAAGGCCCAGAATCTCAGCTGGTCCTGCCAGAGGTGGGAGACAAGGGTGTGTTTTCACAAGCTCCAGGTGAGTCTGATGCTCACTAACATTTGAGCACCTTGGTTCTAGTGTAAGTGGCTGGATGCCTTCCTGTCCTGCAGCTCAGGGTTCACAGTTCTGCTGAAGGCTGATGTTGGGGATGATGGGGAATCTTCCTGGGCAGAGGATGAGCATCAAAAGCTAGTGAGCACGCAAGCCTACTCTTTTATTTCATAGGGAAAGGGATAGGGCAATTTCAGGGAAGCTTTGCAGTCAGCACACTGGACTGTCATGTTGGTTGGTGGGATAGTCCATGGATTCTTCATTGTTGTAGACCAATACCTTACAGTCTTCTGAAGGATACAAATGTCCTGCTGGCCATTCCTGGTTCAAGATAAAGAGGCCGACAGACAGAGCAGTCAGGCATTCTTTTATGTTGGTGAAGAGCAGGGACTCAGTGTAATTGATCAAGATGTTGATGAAGATGATAAGTAATGCTTTCAATTCATGATGCCAAAAAAGTCATCTGAATATGGAGAGTTACATATTTGGAAAGATTTTTCAATGTAGGTTTTCAGCAGTAAGTTCTTTTTTGCTCTTACCTTGTTTTTAGTGGCCTTGTGATCAAAGCCTAAAGGTAAGTTCTGTGACACATTCATACTTCAAAGGCTGACCATGAAGCTAATTAAAGAGGGTTTCCATTTTTGTCACACCCAGTGTGTCAGCTGGCTTTCTGTCACTGTAACAAATACTGAAGATAATCAGTGTATAAATAAGTTTTTTTTTGCCTCACAGTCTATTATTTGGAGGATAAATGCTTTGGGCTTGTGGTAAGGCAGCACATCATGGCTGGAATAAGTGGCAGAGGAAAGTTGTTTGCCTCATGGCCAGGATGCCAAAGAGAGAAAAAAGAAGAGGCAGAGTCCCATAACACCTTATCAGGTGATCTCCCTGTGACCTAAAGGTCTCCCACAAGGCCCCACCTCTCATAGGTACCACCACCTCTCATGCACTTTGAGGCATACTTACAGTTTAAACTATAGCCACCACAAACACATCTGATGTGCTTAATATATGCTAACTATGATACTGAGTGCTTTGTATGGATATTATAAAAACCATATATGCTAGGTGCAGTTTTACAAAGAAAGAAATAGAGGCTCAAGAAGAATTCTAAGTCACTAGTAAGTAGATTTGATGTAGATTCTGAGTTAAGAGTCTGTTTAATTTAGAAGCTGTCCCATTTAACCAGCATGTCATTGCAAATGCTCAAAGTTTCATGTTGAATTTCAGATTTTTTTCTTTTGAAAAGAACAGATTTTGCCTCTGTACAAATTTGGAATGTTTGCCAATTTGTGAAGTGGTGTGAATCAGGAGAAATATCCTGATGTCTGCTATAATCAGGTGGTCATTGTTTCACTCAGTTTCTCTGGGAAGTGGATACTGTATAGTAATTGCAGCAGGTATTATGTTATTGTTCAGCTCTGAGTATAACTTACCTGGTTGCATTGCATGAAGAGTGATGGAGGGAATGTACCCCACCAAGTTTGAAATACACTCAGTGCTGGTGGATATGAGCTTGATTATGCTCAGCAGTGTGACTTCCTGTTTTCAAGATAAAAGATCTACAGAAATTTATCTGAAAATTTCAGAAGGCTTTAGTGACATGATCTCATACAGCTTAGAGAAAACACTTAAATAATTTAATTGCAAATAAATTTGAACCATATGCAGAAATTTCTTATGTGCACATCAGCTTTACAGAAGATTATCAGATGATATATAAAAGATGTTTGATTGTATATATAACCCAGAATATTAAAGAAAGGAAAATTTTAAGATACTTGAAAAAATGTGGTTGGATTTTTTCTGAATCTAAAGATTAGATAGAGAGACGAATGTGTTTAGCAGAGTGGCATTCTTACTTCACTCTGTGTGTGCCACTCAAATTGAGCTCTGTGTAGCCACATGAAAGGCTCCTCTTGTCCATTTACTGTTTGCTGATGATGCTGTCTGGCTCCTCATAGACAATGCCTGCTGAGCTCCTACTTTTTCAGGGAGCCTGCCCAATGTTAACATTCCCTCTCACCTGCATGAGCAGAAGGGCTTGGGGGCTGGTGGGAGGTACCGGGATAAGGGCTGAGCTTAAATAGAAGGAGCATTATTAAGAGGGGACATACTTGAAATCAGAATGATGACATTTAGGCTACTGCTTGGCACTAAACATATGCATGACCTCAGGTAAGCTGCTTCACCTTAGGCCCTGTTTTCTTATAGGGTTAGGATCTTTCCCACTTTCTTCAGGGCTGTTATAAGGATTAGGATTAAGATGAAAAGCTCGAGAGCTTGTTGTAAACTTATACAAAACAAGCCATGTGATGGGTTGTCAGAGCTGGCGTAGCCCTGTTGTCTTCAGCTGGTTTGTGGGCCTGGCCCCTGACACAGAGTAATTAGACACAGGCTGGTGCCTGGGGTAAGGGAGCTTTGTAGTCTGATAGGGCAAGCTGCTGTCCCCACCACTGGATTGTATGGCTGATGCATGGTGGACCTGATGTGCTTTGGAACAGAGCCTCTGGCTGGGCAACTCAGGCAGCACACTGGTACCATTTGGACTGAGCTTCTTCCATTGGAACTTCACTCCTTCCTCCTCTAGGATCCTATCACTTTTAGGAAATTCTGAAGTTTTTTGCTTATTACTATTTTGTCAGCATTTATTATGGAGGGGTAGGGACCACCGAGTTAGAATCCATTTGTCCTGAGCAGAGACTTGAAGAAAGTGTCCCCAAAGCCCGGGACTACTGCATCCACTCTAAGGCACTGACTGGAGAGAACATAGGCTGGAGCAGAACTGCAGGGAGAGAAAGCCATCTTGTGTAGAAGTTCATTTTCTAGCTCAATCACGTAAGACTGTGCATTTCATTTTGCTGAACCATACTATTTGATTAGAAACAAAAACTTTACAATAATCACTATCTCATATATCATGGAAAACATTTGTTAAATCTTATAGGTTATTCTCTTAGTTTTTAGGAATGGGATGTTCTGTGACTGATCAAGCAACTCTAGCTAATCCGTCAAACTTTACTCCTTTGGTTAGATTCACTCTGTTGAAACCTACAGGTGTCTGGCATTTCAGAATAGCCATTTATAAAGTGTCCTTATTAATGTGCTGCTGAGGCTCACACTAACTTATGACATTAGTTTTTGTTCTTATGTATTAGCTGGGAATTTTCCAGTCTAATAAAAGTAGTCAGAATTGATGATGAGGTTAACCAAAGGAAGGAGGCTTGGGAAGTAACTCATTAGAGTGGTGCCTATTATCCTAGCAGCATCCTCAAATAAGAGTTAGAATATGGTTTACTACTGGAAATGGGCAATACTGTAGTCATATCATCTGTAGCACTTGTTCTCAAATATTTCAGTTACTTGATGTAAAAACAAAACTTAAAAACTATGTAGTGGCCACTAGACCACACTGCTTTGAAGAAGTTAACAAGGAGAGTATTTCTCAAGATTAGTCACTTTAGCAAGAGGATTTTGCAAAACTAATTAATGTAACATGAAGAAAATAGCAAATACTGTGATGAACAGTTATGGTGTGTTATGATGGCGTTTGTCTGGAAGGGTAGGACTTACAACTTTGAAGCAACATTTAGACCTCAGACAGATATTTGTTAGTATTTAGCTCTTAACGGTTCATTGTAAAGGCAAGGAAAGCCTCTCTTTTCATCATTGCAATGAATAACTGGAGGAGAGTTTTAAATAGCATATAATAGATCTATGCTGTATTTTTACTTTGACCTTTGGCTCTTGCCAGAGAATATATAGTTTTGGCCTAAAGGGAGCAAAAGGAAATAGATGAAAAGGGACATTGTAAAGCATCCAAGATTTGTGGCTGGCAGCCTCACTGCATGGTATGTTTTCATTTGAAGTTCTTGAGACCTCTTGGTATGCAATGTGGGAAGACCAAGAGGACAGAGAAATGATCTTTCTAGGGTTGGCTACCAAAAGAGAGGTATTTAAGCTCAGAAGTGAATTGAAGCTTGATGTTTGCAGAGATGTCATATA